ATATATATATATATAAAATCTGTCTATGTATTATAACATATGTATTAAAACATAAGTCCAATTAGTTTTTAAGCTCAGATATTCTTCTACATGAGGTATCTAGATACTATTCTAGATATTATTTCTATCCCATTCTTTGGGGTTTCTATAATGTAATCATCTATAAAAGTTTTTCCAAAAGTTTCATCAGTGTCTGTTTCTCTTGTCATTTTTTTCTTGGCCCTTTCCCTTTGGGTTATGAGCAAACTCGTTGGTTGGATTTCTAGAGCTTCAGTGATATCTTGAGTATTTGAGATTCTTGAGATGAAGTCTTATGTGGGACCCCAAAGCACAAAGAGGACCAAAATGGGCCTGCCCTGATGGGAAGGTCTGGTCATGACCCCCTCTGATAATTTGAAGAGCTGATTGGGAGGCTAAGCCTCTGCAGAGGACAGCTTCAGAGTCTTTACAATTAGGTTTAGCCTGTTAAATGCTATGCACTGCAGCAGGAAGGTTAGTTATGTTGTTTTTTCAGTCATAATGAAAATAATGGCAGCTGCCCGTCTGCCATTCAGTATGCCTTCTTTAGACTATCAAAAGATTGTCCGGCAGGTTTAGAGCTAAGTATGGTAACTGCACTGGCTGGTGGTGTGCTATGGTGATTCTCCAGTTCTCTGAAGAACACACAAGTCTCCTAAGATCATGCTTTCATAGCAATGAACTCTGAATACCCAACTGGCCTCCAATGGACCCTTTCCCAACCCACACCTCCATGTTGCAGTGTGCTCAGCCCAAATCATCTTCTGGCTCATTTTGACAGAATACCAGGGAGCATTGAGGCCCATGCTCTCAAGTGTTTATTGACTCTAGTGAACACTCAGAATAGAGCCAGCTGTGTTAGTAGGAAGGTGTGTGGAATGACAACAGCATTTAATGACCCCAAATCAACCTAGATTCAAAAATTACTTTTCCCATGATATAAGACCATTTTCTGGTCTTTAGTTTCCAGTTCTACGTTCGACCTTTGATTCCTTAATGCTGAACTCACAAGTACCTTTGGAAATGAGGATAACATGACTCATAGGATGTTCAAGGAGTTAGATTTCATCAGAAACGTGGTGGTAGTATAGTCACTAGTTTAGTTGACCGGGAGACAGCTGGGTTACCTCGGTCAAATGTTTGAAGGGAAATTTATTTCTCAGTCTTGCCTTTTATTCATTATATTTTAATACTGTGTCCTAGGTACCTGGGTTATAACAGTATTAAAAGAGACCAAGACCCTTGGCCTCTTCTAAATGATATTGTAAAAGGGAAAGATAGTTGATGAACTTGAGAAGGTGGTTAGATTTATAAGAAGAAGTTGGTGAGATTGATAAGTGCAGCAGGGCAAAGGAAAGTACAGAGTGTTAGAGGAAGGAGTTGGTGATTTTAAATGGAGTAGGCAGGCAGGGTGGCCATCAATGAATTTGAATCAGTCATGCAGATCTCTGCGAGAGTGGTTGTTCCAGGCAGAGAGGCTAGCCAATGGGAACATCCAGAGGCAGGAGCATGCCTGGCACTCACGAGGAGTAGCCAGGAGTCCACTGTGGCCATGGCGGGAGAGGGCAACAAGGTAAAGTCAGAGCGGTCATCCCTGCCCTCCGCGAACTTGCCAGCATTGTAAGGTATTCCATTTCTGCCCTGTGGGGGAGGAGCTGCCATAGGGCTTTGAACAGAGGAGCAGATGACTTGAGCTTTGAAAGGTTTCCTCTAGGCATTGAATGGAGATTGGACTTGAGGGCAGAGGTAAAGATGGAAGCAGAGAGACTCGCATGGAGGTCATCTCAGAATCCAGCTTACGGTACTCAGACCAGGGTGGTAGTGCCAGAGGTGATCAGAAGGGACTCCTTTCTGGGTCTCTTGAACGTGGAGTCAAATGGGATTTGCCGATGGATTGGGTGTGATGTGGGTTGCTGTTGTTCGGATGTTCCCCCAAAATTCATGTGTTGGGACTTGGTCACGTTGTAAAGGTGTTAAGTGGAGACTTAATCCCTTCATGGTATTCCAGGGCGGGACTTTGGGTGTGAGAAGGTCTTTAGGCTGGGGCCCCTGTGATTGAATTCTGGTGGGTTTACAGAGGGAGTGAGCCCAGAATAGGAGAGAGAGAAGCTTACAGATACAGACCACACTCTATTCTGCAAAACATTCTACCTTCTGCTGTTCTGTGATCCCTCTCGCCACCAGAGTTGTGAGTTTTGCAAATAAACCTCTATTTTCTGTATAACTCACCTGGTCTCAGGTATTTTCATTAGCAGCACAAAAACAGACTAAGGCATGGCTTGTGAGAGAGAGATATCCAGAGGGACCTGGAGGTGTCAGGGCATGGCCAGTTGCAAAGATGGAATTGCCATCAACTGAAATGGGGACGACCTTAGCTGGAGTTGTTTTAGGGGAATATCAGGATTCAGCTGGGACTGCGAGGTTTGCACGCCATGAGACTTTCAAGTGGAGATACTGACTGGACGGCTGGGATAGAGTTTGGAGTTGAGGAGCAGAGTCTGACTAGAGGCATGAATTTGTGAATCACTGGCACATACATGTTTTTTAAGCCCATGACACTGGACGAAGTCATCAAGGATCTAAATATGAATAGATGTGTCCCCAAAGACCCCTCTGTGGCCCATGCTTCAAGTCGCCAACTTCTCACTCCAGGCTAAATAGGAGCAGACGTGCTCAGTTACCGTCTGGCAGCTCATGCCCTTTGATGAGAACCAATGGCGAGAGCCTGTCTGGAGCCAGCTCAGCTTTGAAAAGGTCTGTTCTTTAACATCATCCTTTAAAGTTGATTAAAAATTTAACTAGGGCTTTGACATTCCCTGAGACTCTGCATTATAAGATAGACTTTTCACAGTGACTAAATGGATAATTGATCTTTTTGAAGCTTTTTGTCTTTGCCAGTTCAATTTTGTCTGTATGGGAGGTGGGGAATGACATTTTGTTAATTTTTTTTTTCTTTTTTGAAACATGGAAGGAAAAGGCAAGCTTATTAATGAGGGTCCTGTCTCCTGGAGGTTTCTAGAATGCAAGGATGTTTTGCAGGTGTATGCACACTCAGGACACGTGGGTTTATATTTAATGCACATGTGCATGAACAAATGAGTTCTTCACCTTCTGAGGTTCTTCCTTAAGGCTTCTTTAATAATCTTCTAAGAACTATAGGCCCTCTCACGAGAGAACGTTGTCCAGATGCCGTGGTCCTTCTGGGCTGCCACAACAGCATACCTAATACACTTGGTGGCTTTTAAATCACGGGAATTTGTTTCTCACAGTCCTGAAAGCTGGAAGTCTGAGATCAGGGTGCTAGCGTGGTCAGATTTTGGGAAGGGCCCCTTCTAGATTGCAGACAGCTGTCTTCTCATGTGTCCTCACATGATAGAAAAAGGACATAAAGCTTTCTAGATCTTTTTATAAGAGCGCTAATCCTATCATGAGGGCCCCACCCTGGTGACCTACTCTCTTCCCAAAGA